AATAATTAATATGTTCAATTCAAATTTATTTGCAACATATCCCAATAGACCTTGCCTCCTCATTGATATAAAACCTTACAATCCTGTATGTTATAGATAATAATTGACAGGTCAACATGGTGTTATTCTGTCATGCTTCTGAAAAATAACATGACTGAAAAAAGTTCTATAAAATATCAAAGAGTCTTGACACATGTTGATTGTTACCTTCCCTGCCTTGTCCCCTGAACCAGGGATATGTTCATAATTTCTGTATTGCTCAAGCCTAGTTTTCCGATATCTTTCTCTAGTGATGCCAAGGCTATTCCAAGGAATTCCCTGGATGTCTTGTCCTCTTCTAGCCTCAGCAGCTGTAAGCCTGTAACTACCTTACCACTCTGTACCAACACTACAATATTAGTCCTAGAAATATAAAGATAACCTTATACATAGTTTTCATTTGCTTGATGAATCATTCAAGTATGAGGAACGTAATTTGACACCACCACTAATTGCTAATGATTAACCACAATACGAAACATATTCATCAACAGCATATTCATAAAATAGCAGAAACTGAAAACTGCAAAACAGCACTATACAAACCGAGTTATCATATTCATCTGTGTCAGACTCTACACCACCCCGTTCTCTATTAATAGATTCATCGTCCATGCCATCTTCTACATCTTCCATTTCACATTCATCCGCCATATATTCAGTATCACCCCCTTGGTGATTGGACATGTTCTGCCCAACTAATTAGAGCCTATAATAACAAGAATGGGAAAAAAGATAGAAAATCAGCGGCAAACACTAGTCCAGCGTGAGCAAAAATTGGGTCCAAAAGTTTAAATGTTTAAGTAAAAAATAAATAAACAACTTCCAGAGTTAAATTATCACCAAACAAGGAGCTCCGCGTTGAGTAATGATGGAAAACAAGCATCAAATATTATTCAATTTTATACCTAATTATGTTTCAATAATTGGAAACTCATATAAGTATAACCATGATTGGCATGTGCTACAACTAGCTATTTCTATGAACCTATTAAAGGTGATTAGCGTGGGGTAAAGTAATTGGATCGCGAGAAAGCATGGAGAAGAGAGAAATATCGAAAATGATGGTGTGCCATTGTTTTATTTTAAGATACACCCAAAATAGAAAGAGAGTGGAGCCATTAAATTATTCCACGAATAATTTTTTAAAAAAATTGAGTTTTAAAAGGCCTTTCTCCCCCTTTAACCAAAACTAAAACTGAAACCAAAACCAGGATGTAAAACCCTGCTCTGTTGCAGAACATTGAAATTTCAAAAATGATAGCAAACTTATTTACCTCTCCCCTGGATTAACAAAAGCAAACATAGAAAAAAGAGTATCTTGGAGTTTATTCCCTTTACCTTGCCAATTCTAAAACAAATTGATATCAAAGAACTTTCCTCACTCCTCTACCAAGTCAACACATAGCCTCCTTGCTCACACAAAATTCCATTCAAGAAAAATAAATAAATAAACCTCTCATGCATGCACCAAATATAATCATAATCATCCATTTCCAACACAACAAAACACCCTGAAATTATTTTAATTAAAAACAAAAAAACTTCAGTCTCCCTTAAAACTTTTTCTTTTCCAAGACAAATGATCAAACTCATCAAAGTCAAAACAATGGTTAACTCTGCTCCATAACGTTCCACACAAATGTAAATGATCAAAACAACCAACAAAACGCCAAACACACAAAATCGACACGTGACAACAACAAGCACAAATGAGAAAGAAAAGGAATCTTGTTCATTTTCTTAGCGTTTTGCGGAATCCAAAGAGCGAAACAGAAGGGAGAAACTCACCCATGTAAATTGAGCTTGACTTTGCGGTGAACAGTGGGTCAATGGCGGAGCAAACCCTAGGAGAGAGAAAAAAAGAAAGCGAGTGCGAAGAGAAAAAGCGAGTGCAATACCAAATGAATCCCCGACAGAATTTGAAATTGAAACTCTCCTAGCAAATTTCGCTGTCCGATTCGAAGCTACAGGGACAACACAACCATCAGCAAAATTCAGGAGAATAGGAAATGATAGTTTAGACAGAAACAAATTGTATATGAAATCCTACCCTAAGATCAATTGAATGCATACATTTCCCGCGTGCAGGTTTCGTAATCTAGGTTTTGATTCTCATTAGAGAATGGCAAATTGCGAGTATGAGTTGAAGAAAACAGAACAGATTTAATACACTTGGATGATCGAAAACTCACCATGAATGGATTAATCGAGTAGAAAAGAGAAGTTCCTCACGAACAGTAATGATAGAGACGAAAGAGCAAACGAAGGAGCTTGAATTTTCACAACCATCGTTTAGGTTGATTATTTTGAACTAAAATTGTAAATTTTTTTTTATTTTATTCTTTTAATAAAAAAATATTTTGATTGAGCTGGTCACATGTCTAAAAGTTGGCAACGTTTAAAATGAGGTGCTTAAATATTGTGGCAGTCTGAAACCGCCAAACGTTTGAAACCGCCAAACGTTTGCCTCTATTTTCATCTTTTCCCAAAATACCCCTGCGTACTTATCGTTAGATTTTCGGACTTCATTTTAAAAATGTTTTTTTTAAGTTTAATTTTAATAAAAAAAATTATTTAACGTTCTGGCGGTTCAAAACCGCCAGAAACTGTCAACACTTGTAATGATTATCATTCTTGCAGTTTAAAACCGCCAGAAAGTGTCAATAATTTGTAGCGCTAACCATCCTTACCACAAATGTAACATTTTTTGGCGGTTTTTAGAAACCGCAAAAAAAAAATCGCCAATAATTACCTATTTTTTTGTAGTGACGTATATATTATAATATAATATATGACATAATAAATAAGAGAGAGGATAAAGAAACAACATAATATAATATGATAAGATATTATCGTATCATTTTATATCTTTTTTACCAAACAGATATAAGATATAGAAGAAAATAATATAAAAGAAATTTTTATAGATAGAGATATATGATAATTAAGATAAAAAAAAGGTCAGGAAATTCCTCTATATAAACAGGAGCACTTCCCTTCCGAGTTCCGAAAGCTCCATCTTGTTTAGATAGCTCCTGAGTCTTCACTTTTGGTTCTATTGTTTAGATTAGTGTCTCGGTGAGAAAAATGGCTGCAGTGGTAGTTAGCAGTGGAGGGAGCAAAGAGTACCCCGGGAGTCTCACTCCCTTTGTGACGGTAACATGCATAGTCGCAGCCATGGGTGGGTTGATCTTCGGTTACGATATCGGAATATCTGGAGGGGTGACGTCAATGGATGCATTTTTGAACAAGTTCTTTCCGTCGGTGTTCCGGAAGAAGAACTTGGACAAAACGGTGAACCAGTACTGTCAATACAACAGCCAGACACTAACCATGTTCACGTCATCCTTGTACTTGGCCGCACTGCTCTCGTCGTTGGTTGCCTCCACCATCACGCGTAGGTTCGGCCGAAAACTCTCCATGCTTTTTGGAGGCTTGCTTTTCCTCGTGGGTGCTCTCATCAACGGCTTTGCCCAACACGTTTGGATGTTGATCGTGGGTCGGATCTTGCTCGGCTTTGGTATCGGATTTGCCACTCAAGCTGTGCCACTTTACCTCTCTGAAATGGCTCCATACAAATATAGAGGAGCACTCAACATTGGGTTCCAATTGTCAATTACTGTTGGCATACTTGTGGCCAATGTGTTGAACTACTTCTTCGCCAAAATCAAAGGTGGTTGGGGATGGAGGTTGAGTTTGGGTGGTGCTATGGTTCCTGCCCTCATAATCACAATCGGATCACTAATCCTTCCCGACACCCCCAATTCCATGATTGAAAGGGGTGATCGTGAAAAGGCCAAGGCTCAGCTCCAGAAAGTTCGTGGCGTGGATGATGTTGATGAAGAGTTCAATGACCTTGTGGCAGCTAGTGAAGCTTCAAGCACAGTGGAGCACCCTTGGAAAAACTTGTTGCAGAGAAAATACCGACCCCACCTTACTATGGCTGTGTTGATTCCATTCTTCCAGCAACTCACTGGAATCAATGTGATCATGTTTTATGCGCCTGTGCTGTTTAGTTCCATTGGGTTTAAGGACGATGCTGCTCTAATGTCAGCTGTCATCACCGGTGTTGTGAATGTTGTTGCAACATGTGTCTCAATTTATGGAGTTGATAAGTGGGGTAGGAGAGCCCTTTTCCTTGAAGGTGGAGTTCAGATGCTCATATGCCAAGCTATAGTTGCAATTGCTATTGGAGCCAAGTTTGGAATCGATGGAAACCCTGGTGATTTGCCACAGTGGTATGCTATTGTTGTGGTTCTCTTCATTTGCATTTACGTGGCAGCATTTGCATGGTCTTGGGGTCCCCTTGGTTGGTTGGTGCCTAGTGAGATCTTTCCATTGGAGATTCGTTCGGCTGCTCAGAGTATCACTGTCGCGGTCAACATGCTCTTCACTTTCTTAATTGCGCAAGTCTTCTTGCAAATGCTTTGCCACATGAAGTTTGGCTTATTCATCTTCTTCGCCTTCTTTGTGTTGTTCATGTCATTCTTCGTTTTCTTCCTTTTGCCCGAAACCAAGGGTATTCCAATTGAAGAAATGCCTAAGGTGTGGAAGGCACACCCATTCTGGGCCAGATTCGTTCAACATGATGATTATGATAACGGAGTTCAGATGGGAAAGGGATCTAGTCAAGTGTAGTTAATTAATTAGTCCTTTATTTTTGTTGTTGTTTTTTTCTTTTTCCTTGTAAATCATCCTATTGATGTTCGAGTCAGTTTTAATGTATTGAATTGTTTTTATGAAAAAGTTCTTTATTTTAGAAATTTGTCTTCTGTCAGGAGAATTTTTTTTCTTTTTCAAAGTCCACCAACAATCATTTTAAAAACCCACTTTCTATCGATTTAAGTTTAATGTATAGTACATCTATAATACGTATTTTTTTTTATGATACCACTTTCTTTATTAAATTAAGAAACATATTTTGATTTTTTATTTTTGTTATTTTAAATTTGATCTACTAGTTTTAAGGAAAGAGAAAAAGTGATTAAAAACAAAGGTTTGGAAAGAATTTGAATTTAGAATTGACATCTTATTGGTCAGTGAGTTTTAGACTTAAATTACAGATTTGATTTTGGTTCAGGTTAAGAAAATAACATTATGCACAACATACCTATCATATATGTATGTGACTTGTTGATATTAATCTCTTGGTAATTAGAATGATTACTAGAACATTAACAATGGAATATACGAGTATAAAAAATAAAATCTTCAAATCTCCTATGATATATGGAATTTGAATAATTATCTTTAAATGGAATGATTTAAAATATTAACATCAGTGTACTTAAAAAAGTTATTTAATCTCATATATAATTTAAAATTTTGACTTTACTATATCAAATTAATATACATAAAGATAATGTAACATAATTTAATTAAATATTTTACTTTCACAATCTTAACTTTAACTTTTTATAACTTAAATTTATTTATAAAGTTATATATAGTTTATCATTAAAATAAATCAAGAAAAAGATATTATATCTCTGTTTATTTATTTAAAAAATAATAATGAAATTTAAATAATGTGACTTGTAGTTAAAAGAAACTGTATATTAGTGATAAGAAAGTATATAATAAGATCTCGAGTAAAATAAAATTAAAAAAAATGTGCAGAACCAAATTTCATATCCTCGTCTCTGTTTTATTTATTTATTTTTTATGAAATACCTCTTAATTAATTATTGATAATATTTATTGAAATAATACAATATGGAATGTAGTTATAATCTCTAAGTCCAACTTGATATGTAGTTGCCTTTACTAAATTGTAAGCCACTAAATTTACTTGTCTATTTAAGAAAAATGCTATTATGGTTTGCCAGTGTTTTTAAGACTTCCTTACATTTATATAAACCATCACCAAATTAAAAAATCTTCTATATGCTTGTTACTAATACCATGATTACTTTATAGCAATTCACCTCAAAGGAGACAAACCCTAAACCATGTTTAGTAATCCATTTAGCTACCTCGAG